ATCACGTCTTTGAGATGTCTCAAAGAGCTTCACAGAATGCACTGTAAAGTGGAGTGACTGGATTTTGTGGGTGAAACGTGGCAGCCAATTGCGCATATTGTTAGACTTTGCTCATTTTAATAACTTCCAGAATCATAACATTTCCCATAGTTTTAGTCTTAAGACATCTGTCTTAAAATATAAGATGATGCAGAATTTCTGAAATTTCTTAAATTCAATCTTAATTTTCAAGCTGTTTTTCCAAAGGTCTTTTTAAGAATGGATTTCACCATGGATTGAAAGCCCGGAAATTACAGGCCAGTCAGCCTAACTTCGGTACTAGGAAAGCTACTGGAGACCGTAATCCGGGACAAAATAAATCTCTACTTAGAGGAACACGAGGTAATTAGAGATATCCAACATGGATTTGTTAAAGGCAAATCTTGCCTAACAAATCTAATAGAATTTTTTGAAGAGGTGACTGTGAGGGTTGATGAGGGAAATGCGGTGGACATTATTTACATGGATTTTAAAAAGGCTTTTAACACAGTACCGCATAAGAGGTTAATAAAAACACTGGAGGTCCACGGTATTAAGGGGACAGTAGCCGTTTGCATTAGGAACTGGTTGAGTGACAGTAAGCAGAGGGTGGTGGTTAATGGGTGTTTCTCGAAATGGAAGGAGGTGTGCAGCGGTGTCCCCCAGGGATCGGTATTGGGACCACTGCTCCTTCTAATACATATTAATGATCTGGACTTGGGCATAGGGAGCACTATTTCCAAGTTTGCAGATGATACCAAGTTAGGTAGGGTAGTAAATAATGAAGAAGATTGTGACGGACTGCAGGCAGACATACATAGAATGGTGGAATGGGCTGACATGTGGCAGATGGATTTCAATGTAGACAAGTGCAAGGTGATACACTTAAGTAGGAAAAATTATAGGAGGCAATATAGACTTGGTAGCTCAATCTTAAGGGGGGTGAACGTACAGAGAGATCTGGGCATTCAAGTAAGCGAATCATTGAAGGTGGCAGAGCAGGTAGATAGGGCAGTAAAAACGGCATTTGGTGTACTGAGCTTCATTAGTAGGGGCTTAGAGTATAAGAGTAGGGAGGTTATCCTTAATCTGTACAAAACACTGGTTAGGCCTCAGCTGGAGTACTGCGTCCAGTTCTGGGCACCTTACCTCAGGAAGGATATTAAGGCACTGGAAAGGGTGCAGAGGAGATTCACGAGAATGATACCAGGAATGGGGAAGCTTAGCTATGAGGACAGGCTAAAAAAGTTAGGACTTTTCCCATTAGAGCAGAGAAGGTTATGCGAGGACCTGATAGAGGTCTTCAAGATCATGAAAGGTTTCGACAGGCTAGATAAGGAAAAGCTGTTTCCGCTGGTAGATGTGTCTGTGACCCGTGGTCACAGTCTTAAGATATCTACCAAAAGAAGCAGAGGGGAGGTTAGAAGAAATTTTTTCACTCAGTGAGTTGTTAGAATTTGGAATGATCTGCCCGAAAGGGCAGTGAAGTCCGATTTGATAACAGCTTTTAAGAGAGAACTGGATAGGTATCTGGAGAAGTCAAGTTTGCAGGGTTATGGGGAGAAAGCTGGTAAGTAGGGTTAATAAAAGTCAGTTGCTCTGTCAAAGAGCCGGCACAGACTCGATGGGCCGAATGGCCTCCTTCTGTGCCGTAACATTCTATGATTCTATGATTAATGTGTCGCACTTCAATCTACTATCAGGAGCTGATGTTTACATAAACGGAGAGAACCCTCTGAGGTTTAGGATCCAAGGAAACCATGTCACGATGAGGTTTCCCTGTATTGGGAATTAGACTTCACTGCCCCAGTTATGCACCATTCAGGATTTTGCCACAAACACGTCACTGCTTTCCATATTGCATGTTGGCAAAAAAATAACTGAGGACATTAACTCCGAGTTAAAGAGTAAAGAGGGTTAGATTTTTAGATGTTTAAAGATGCAAACTTGTAAGATTTGGTAAGGGGGTCATATGTATCAGCCTGGCTCACTGGTAGCACTCTCGTCTCCGAGTCAGAAGATTGTGGGCTCAAGCCTCACATTGGGATTTGGAATCACACAGTCTAAGCTAACAGTCCAAATGCAGAGCGGGGGTTGCATTCTCGGAGGTTCTGTCCATTGAATGAGACGTTAAACTGAGGCCATGTCTGCCTGTTCAGGTGGACATTAAAGATCCCATGGCGTATTTGAAAGGGGAAGGGAGTTCCTCTCAGTGTCCTGACCAACAATTCCCCAATTAAAAATTGGTCACTTACTTTATGGCTGTTTGTGGGAGATTGCTGTGCACAAACTTACTACCATGTTTTACCCACAAAATGCACAGTAAATCCACTTTACAGTATATTCTGTGAAGCACGTTTTGAGACATGTCAACGACGTGATAGGGTGCAATATCAAATGCAAGGATTAGTATTATTATTATTCGGCATGAGGTCTTTTCTTTTTCCTTTCCTGTTTAGTTGAACCACCACATGCCTACGGTACAATAAATATAACACCGGGCCCATCGTCTCAACACGCAGTAGCTTGACCGTCGAAAGGGGAACCGATTTGAAAACCTGCAGTTCATTAGGAGGAAATATTTCTTTCTGGCAGGCGGCACATATTTGAGCACCAGATATTTTGGCTCGTTGCCCAGTTGGCTGAGATGATTTTTTTTCCCATGCTCTTTTCTTGGGTCATTTCACAGTGCAAAGCACTGTGACATAATTCCGCAAAGGTTTTTGACCATGAGGGAAGCAACAGTTAATATTACAGAAGGCTTTTGCTGCCAGTTATGTAATCTCCATGTTGCATCTTAATAGCAAACAGGAAGAAAAAGCATCAACATAATTTTTAAAGACTAGTCCTCGACGGACCCCTTGTATAACATGCCTCCATCCGCCTTTCCAGTAAATGCAGAATGATTTCATAGGCAGCACCGCTGTAACCATTTGCATGTTGAGGGTATAATCCTGGCATCGATATGATCTAATCGTATCAGAGGGTTTTTTAATGGCACTTATCGTGCACAATCCTTATCTAACACTGCGTAATGAAAACAAGAAATCTGAATCAGATTTTTTTCTTCATTCCAGGTTTACTTCTCTGTCGAGTTGTGTTTGCTTTTCAGGAAGTACAGGATGGTTAGTAAAAGCAAACCTGAGCACCAGTCTGCTGAAAGTCTCTGCAATTAAGGCGAGAAGGAAAAAGTAACTAAATTAATTTCCCTTAATTTCATATTTTAGGCCTCCCAACGGATGTCTGCAGTCACTGCTTAGTCTAGAACTGAGTCACATACACACACACACCAACATGAATCCAGATTATGTATGCACTATGTGTATATCATAAAAAACACATAACTCAGCCAATTTATCCTGTCTGCATTGAATATGTTGATCTTGGACAACAGTTTGGACATTACAATTGGCCTCAGTTAGTGAGGAGAAATGATCAACTAGTCATCACACTACTGATCAGTATCCAGTGCCATGTGCTGGATGTGGGATCATGGTCAGTTGTGACAGCTCCCTGTTATACTTGGATGACTGCTATTCTGCAACACTCAGTCTATCCTCACATATGAAAAGCAAGGCACTGGAGTTACGATTGTGGAACATCACTTTGGCGTGCATCAGCTCCTGTAGGAGGGAATTTGTCAGTCATGCAGGTGACAACCCGGTTCAGTTGATAGCAGTCTTCCTTCAGTCAGAGGATTGTGGGTTTAAGCCCCACATCAAGATTTTGAACTCAAAGTCTCGGCAGTGATGCATGATCCTTCAGACATCCTTCAGATAAGACATTAAACCAAAGTTCCATCTGCCTTTTCGAGGGGTCATTAAAGATTGTATCAAGCGCATTGGGACGTCCTCCCTACATGAAAGGCGCCATACAAATGTAATTTGTTGTTGTTACATGGCACTATATCAAAAAAGTTTCTCCCAGTTTGTTGGCTAACAATTCAGATAAAATTGGTCATTCACTTCATGGCAACTTTATTTTTTTTAAACATATGACTTTATAACTTTTTAAACATGTAAACACTTCACGTTTACCTAGCAGTAAATAGGAACCCAGTTATTAGTCGATTGGTGGATTGCTTTTCCGGGGGTAATTCTTTCCAAAAAAAATTGTTCACTTCAATCCACGACTGTTTGTGGGACACTGCTGTGTGCAATTGGCTGCCATGTTTCACCCACAAAAAAAGTTAATTCATTATAGTAAATTTTGTGAAGCGCTTTGAGACATCTCGAAGCCATGATAAGGCGCTATATATCAAATGCAAGTATTATTACATATTTATGTGAGTTTGTGTAACATTGGTGTTTGAAAAATGGGACTTTTTTCACCAACCAACAGTCACTACACTTCACAGTAAATCCTGCGAATTGCTTTGACACATCTTGATGATGTGATAAGGCACTATATCCAATGCAAGATTGCAAGTTTCATTGTATTTTCTCTTGACAGATCAGATCATCCAGGTAAAACTTTTATCTCTATAAACTGTATCTTATTGACAAATTGGTCAACCATCGACAACGCCTTAGGATTGCTGTGTACCTGGCTTGTCTTCTCAGAATCAGCTCAACCTTAAAGATATCCGAATTACCTCTCCCCAAGGAGGATATCCAGTTGGGACGTTCTTTTTCAACATGAAAGGTCCTACACAAATGCAGTTTGTTGTTGTTGTTCATTCCTTTTTCCACAACCAGTGAATTTTAATGCAAGTTCCCACCCCTGCACAGGCTCTGAAATGGAGACATCACTCCAAGCAATGAAACCTCTCACATATCAGTTCAAAATTGAAACTTTATTTTTAAATGAGTAGCAAAATGTTACTATTTTTTGGGGGGTGGGGAAGATAAAACACCAAATATATTTGAGGCATTTCAGCTTTCCAAGATAAAAAAAACACACAACAAAAAACATATCCCCCACACTTTTGATTACTTTGGGCCGCAGTCCCAAAACTACAGACACTATAACAAAAGAGGCAGTCAATTTCATAGGATTTATTTTCATAAACTTGAGGTATTTCAAAAGTGCTAAGTTGCAGCACTATATGTACATCATGAAAAAACACATAACTCAGCCATTTACCCAGTTCTATGAACCCAACAGCAACACAAAACAGAGAGAGGCTAGGTAAAAGGCATATATAGTAATTTCTGTACAAAAGAAATTTTAGTCAAAAAGTGATAAAGTAATATCTACTCAAACCTTTCACAACTCATTTTCATACGAAAATATAGGTATCAAATTTAGTATCATGTATCAGCATCACACTAACATATACAGGCAGTGTAAGAATTAGTACAATACATAACAAGGATTAACAAGAAGTCTTTATAGGAAAATGTCATGCTCCTCAAACGTTGAGGTATTACTCTGTAAAAAAAAAGTTCCAGACCGATAACGGTGACTTAAGACTGTGGCATTTGTCTTTCTAACCCATCATCATGTAAAAAAAACGAGTGTTAAACTGATATTTACATTGGATTTCGAAAAAAAGGCTATAAACATCAAAGCCCTCAAAACAATTTCCATCACACGCACAGGACCCTCGAAGATCTGATATTTTTAGAAGCGTTTTGTCCACATGTAAATGGACTGAAAACAAAAAATGTGAAAAAAATTATCCCAAAACATTCTTGACGTCTAAAATGTGCAAAAGTGGCATCCAACCAGTTCGGGTAGCCTCAACCTAGCGAGTCCTTATTTCCTCCAGTCTCTTTACCAGCAACTGTTGCTTGGCTTTTAACTTCTCTTTCTCCGACAATAGTTTGTGCTCCTCCGACTGCAGAGACCGCACGTACTCGGTGGCCTTTTTCAGAATTATGACTTTTGCAGCTTTGTCGTTTTTCACGAGTTCTGGTATTTGGTCCCTTAAGGTAAGAAAGCTGGAGCGCAGGTCGTTCCTCCGCTGGCGCTCCAAGATGTTGTGAGTGCGTCGGCGCTCATTGTCCTCCGAATCAGACCCGCGGGGGCTCATGCTCTTGGATCTAGGAGGCACGGCTTGCTTGGCGACGCGGACAGTCTCGCTTTTCACTTTTTTCAGCGGTGGCACCTCGTCGCACTCCATGTAAGGCGATGGGGCGGCATAGTTGTGTTGTTGGTGTATGGGAGCGCATCTCTTCAGCAGCGAGGAGTTCTGGGGCTTCGATGAGGAACAGCTTGTGTGATGGCTGCGCACAGTCACAGTAAGAGTAGTCACATGTTTGCTAGATGATGACCGGCGCTTCTCAACCGTCACCACATCAATTTCTTCTTCTTCCTCCTCCTCCTCTTCTTCTTCTTCTTCTTCGTCTTCTTCCTCCTCCTCTTCTTCATCTTCCTCCTCCTCCTCCTCTTCTTCATCTTCCTCCTCCTCTTCTTCATCCTCCTCTACAAATAGTCAACAGAAAAGAAAACGATTAACACAACAACTCTGCAATCCAGTACACTACAGTAAAACACAAGTGACCGATCAAATCAAGTGGATCTCTCTGATGAAGGCTCAGGCGACCAGGAACAGAAAGGTGTAACACATCTTACATTGTGCTCATAAAACCATAGGACAGGAAGAAACATTGTGCTCAGTCTGACTGGTCGAAAGATTTGAAATATCAGACAAGTTTATGGTTACAATGGTCCACTCCCCCCATCAAATATTAGACTTTCAGTGCAGAAGCTTCAAATTTGGAGAAAATTTGAAGGAATCCAATCATACCACCAGTATACATGAGTGAATTTTACACTGAACTCTTGTCTGCGAACTGGCATTCGCAATTTGGTCTAAGTCTATATAACCCGAATAATCTGCTGCATTAAACTGGGAAACCACCAATGAGCAAGTGTATGCAAGCATAACACAGAGATAAAGAACAAACTGTGGGATCAATGCAAATTCAAATCACAGTATAAACACATAATTGCTCATTCTAAACCCACACTGTCTGTCCCATACAGCAATGAAGAGATCCATCCGCCTTTACATCATGATTGCAGGAACCAGAAAACGAGCAGATTTGCATTAGCTGGGACTTACTGAGCAGGTTTTATTCTTTTGATTTTTAGCCAAGTGTTCAGGAGACAGCTGTTGAGAGGAAGCCCTGGACAATGCAGGGCTGTCAGGAAGACATAAGCAGCAGCATGTGCAGCACATCCACTTTGAACCACTGATGACTTAAATAGACTTTTGGCTAAAAGGTAGCAAACTGTCCTAAAATTAGGCTGTAAAGTGGAAGGACACATACAAGCAAATCAATTTGCTTTTTTAAGCATTCTACAGAAAGCCTAATGGTGTCACTGGAGTACATTACACTGAATTACCGATCACAGAAATGGAAGACTCATTTTGATCCTTGTGGATTTAGCCTCTTTAAAAAGGCCAAACGAAGGATTATTTGTCGATCATTAAAAAAAGTCACCGCCATTAGAGTGGCCAGACAGTGGCCTAACTAACGATCTCCTCTCAGTCAGACACCCTCCTCACCCTCCCACAAGGGCCTTCTATCTCCTTACGTTTCTTGAATCTGAGACTACTTTGAAATGTTAAATCTCTGGGTTATGTGAAAAAAATCTCAGGGGGTTCCATCGTGACTACAGCATATGTTTATGCAACTTTACATTTCAAAGCCAGGCTCTGGAATTCCAGGAACTCCATTCTCCATGGCCTTCGGAGATTACTCCTGATTAATGGGCTGTTTCAGTGCAAAGGTGTCCAGGTAGCGCAGCCACCACATCTGGTAGCTTTTCTCTGCAGTAACCAAATAGCTCAGCTCAAAGGCATATGAATAACCTCCGTTCCTCCACTGAGTTCTCAAAAGTACCTTCTTTGCAATCAAGCGTTAAAAAGCATTAACATCCATCATCAGCAAACAAGACATCAACATCTTTGGGACGTAGGGAAATCCAAACTTGTGAGTTGAATTTACAGTAAATGTTTTGCTTCTGTGAGTTTGAGTGTGTGTGTGTGTTGGGGGGGGGGGGGGGGGGGAGGAGGGTCTGTCTGTCTCCAGAGTATAATATTGTATTGGGAGGTACACTGCCGCCTGCTGGGCACTGTCAGAAGTGTAGCTAATTATACCAGTCGGTGGCACAGAGCTTAGAGAGTCTGGTAATTTAAAACTGATTCATGTGTGGCTTCCACACTGCTATGTGGGAAAGCCCATTAGACATTCACACAGCCTGATGAAATTAACACAGAGGTGGCAGCTGAAACCAACCACTGCTGCTGGGACAACCGAGGCACCACTTAATGGCACCGAATTCATTACCATTTCTATCATTAAATTACTACACTGGATTAAAGCCTTTTGTCATGTGCAGTCTTCAGTGTTCCTTGATTCAACCAGACCCTCCTCCGCCTTGGTGGGGAACGTGGGGGGGGAGGGGGGAGAGTAAGCAGCTGACTGGCTGCACTCTGACATCAGTGAGGAAAAGAGTAACGCAATAAATGGGACAGACCCTCAGCGGAACAGAGAGGTGCTTGAAAGTGATGTGGAAAATTAAATGGCATTGCGCAAAGAGGGAGAGGGAAAGGGGTGGATTCAGCTCAAGATGTTACATGATCCAAAAATATACAAGAAGTAAAACTGCAGTGAGCAAGGAATATGTCACCAGCGCAGATTTCACGAGGCACATTTGCAAAGACATTTGGGATGGAAACATGGCAGGAGGAGATGGCGTTGGTGGTGGTGGTGGTTTGTATTGGGTCTGAAGATGCAATTGTTTTGTTTGAAAGCCGCCACAACTTACATTTAGATAGTGCCCTTCATGCAGGGATTAACAAAATAACACCCAGCTGCACGTCACGGGCTGCAGTGCAGGTATCGGGACGGTGCGTGTATAGACTGTAACGAGCAGCAGAGCAACCTGTCAGTCTGTGCAGGGAGTGGGGTGTGTAGTAGTAGTAATAATAATAATAATAATAATAATCCTTGCATTTGAAAGAGAACCTGATCAGGTCTCAAACCCACTTGCCACTGATAAAAAATACCTGTGAAGTGGTCAGTGTGGAGAGGAGAGGGAGGGAGAGGGTGAAGGAGAAGAGGGGAGGAGAGAAGAGAGGGAAGAGAGAGAAGGAGAGAAGAGAGGGAAGGAGAGAAGAGAGGGAAGGAGAGGAGAGAGGGAAGGAGAGGAGAGGGAAGCAGAGGGGGAGGGAGGGAAGAGAGGGAGGGAGGGAAGAGAGGGAAGGAGGGAGGGAAGAGAGGGAAGGAGGGAAGAGAGGGAAGGAGGGAAGAGAGGGAAGGAGAGAAGAGAGGGAAGGAGAGAAGAGAGGGAAGGAGAGAAGAGGGAAGGAGAGGATGAGGGAGGGAAGAGAGGGAAGGAGAGAAGAGGAAAGGAGAGGAGGAGGGAGGGAAGAGGAGGAGGGAGGGAAGAGGAGGAGGGAGGGAAGAGAGGGAAGGAGAGACGAGGGAAGGAGAGAAGAGGGAAGGAGAGGAGGAGGGAAGGAGAGAAGAGGGAAGGAGAGGAGAGGGAGGGAAGAGGGGAGAGAAGGAGAAAAGAGAGAGGGAGAAGGGAGAGGGGTGGGGGGAGAGAGAGAGAGAGGGGTGAGACACTTACCAGAGTCACTGGGGGTTTCGTGGCCGGAGTTGCCTTGAGCCGCGGTGGTGTCTGTAGCCGCCGAGGCCGCCGCTCCCCGGGGCGCGGCCTCCTGGTGCAGGGGGAGGGGGAAGGGGAAGACCACCGCGGGGTCCACACACTCGGCCGCCGGGGCGGGGGCGGGCGGGTGAGGGTGAGGGTGGGGTCGGGGGTGCTGCAGCAGCGGCTGTGGCTGCGGGGGGTGTCGGTGTCCCTGGGAGCGGGGGGCGAGGTCCGCCCCGGGGAGGGCGAGGGTCGGGGCGGCGGGGGGGGCGGCGGCGGAGGCCGCGGCCGCCCCCCGGCCCTGGGCCTGCGGCTGGTGCTGAGCCGCCGCGGCCTGGAGTTTGTCGCTGACCACCTTCTCCAGCTTCTCCCGGGCCGAGAAGCCGCTCCACATGCAGTCCTGCAGGATGATGGCGTTCAGGTTCCTGGGCCCCTGGTCCTCGTCGAGCAGCAGCAGCTCCGACACCCAGTCCTCGCCCCCTCCGCCGGCGGCCCCCGCCGCCCCCTCCTCCTGCCCGGCCGCCCGGCCCGCCGCCAGCCCCGCCCGGCTGGGCGACAGGGGCGGGGTGGGCAGCAGCTCGAACTTCTTCCAGATGTCCTCGCTCGGGGGGTAGAAGTCGGCCTCGGGGCCGTAGTCGTCCGGGTAGAAGTAAGGCTGATAGGAGTCGTACTCCAGCTCGTAGCTCTTGCAGCAGGGCAGCCGGATCGAGAAGGAGGAGGAGGCGGCGGCGACGGCGGCGGCCGAGGGGGAGCAGCAGGGAGCCGGCACCGGGGGGCAGGAGGCGGCGGGGATGGCCATGGCCGAGGAGGACGAGGAGGCGGTGGAGGTTGACATGATCCCCGGCATCTCTCTCTCTCTCTCTCTCTGTCTGTGTCTTTCTTCTCTCTCCCTCTCTCTGTCGCTGATCTGGAAGGATGTGGAGAGGCAATACCACACAGCAATGAGCGACACACACACACACACACACAGAGAGAGAGAGAGGGGAGAGGACATGTCAGATCTCAGGCGGTGGGGGTTGTGTTGTTTGGGCGATGCGTCGTTCCCTAAACGCTCTGCACGAACGGGGGCAACGCTTCGTGTGGGATGACTGTGTGTGTGGCGGTGAGAATGAATGTACGGTATTATTTTTTTTGTTGTTGTTGTTGTTCGGGGGTGTGGGGGGACGGGGGACGAATTCGATGGGTGTTGTTTTATAGAAAAAAAAGAAAAAAAAACCCCACCCCCCCCCCAACCGACCAGCCCGAAAAGGTGCTCTTCCCGACCTCAAATGCATGCAACAGTGTGTTTTTCCACCACCACCACCACATACCCCCCCCCATCACCCCCCCCATCACCCCTCCCCCCCCCACACACGAAAAAAAATACCCCCACAAATTCATCATCAAAAGAGGCAGCATTTTTTTTTTTTTTTGCGTCGAAAACACAGCAAAGCGGCGCCCAGACAACAAAAAAGGGCATTGCGGTATTTTTGGTGGTGGTGGTGGTGGTTGTTGTTGTTGTGGGTGGGTGGGTGTGAGAGGGGTGGGGGCGGGCGGGCCAGGGGGGAGGGGGGGGGGGGGTGCGGGGGATATTGCATTGCACATTAGTGCTAAGATTTGTAGCCGCATCCGTGAATAATTAAACGTTACCATCATCAGCCGAACAAACTCACACCGTTAACAATAGACGGTCTCCCCCACAATACTGGGACATCGCAAAGGTTTGCACTCAGTTATGTGATGAGAGCCCAGTGTGTGTGTATATATATTATATACACACACACACACACACTGCGGACTCGCTGTGCACCCAGCACTGGGGCAGGTCCCCCCCCCCCCACCCCACCACCATATTATATTAGAAATAAGGACATTGTAATCGCAGAGTGGCTGTGGCTGATACAGGGATTTGAAAGCCCGACTTGACAACAAGCACAGGGCGAGCGAGGGTGAGGTTAGTCCTGCAGAGGCTTTGCTTGGCTTTGCCTCCCCTTCCCCCCCCTCCCCACCACCCCCCACCCCCACTCCCCGGGCGAGTTGCGATCAGTGCTGCATGAAAAGCTTTGACCTACATTCTGGTGCATTTCCAACGAAGGCAAAACAGGGAGACGGGACTGATCCGACTTTCACACAAACATACTCTCACACACACACAAACACACACACACACACAGAGAGAGAGAGAGATAAAAAATATTGGGCAGGAACCTCGCATTACACAAGAGAGAGACACACACACACACACACACACAGAGAGCAAAGAAAGGGACCTCACCTTCTGCTATATCTTCTTGTATGTATGTGTGTACGAGTGTGTGTGTGTGTATATATATATATATATAAGTCACACAACACAACACTCCGCAGCGATCTGCAAATATCAAGAGACGTGAAACAGATCCAAGCAGTCAGCAGCCTCCGACCATCCCCTGCGATCAGACAGAGCAGTCTGTCGGTGCAAGTTGGATGCAGTGCTGGATATTATTATCCGGGGGGGGAGGGGGGGAGGGGGGAAAGCCCAAAAAATCAAATAAGCCAACCTCCTCGATTTACATAATAGGAGGAGCCCATGATTTGGCGCGAAAATAATTCCCATCCACCCCCTCCCCATCCACCCCCCCCCCTCACCCCCACACTCCCCTTTATCATTTATTTACCAATGTATCAGTGACACAAGCTTTGAGGCTGTGGAGTCTGGTTCGGTGCGAGGTTGCAATGTTGCTCGTTTTGCATGATGGCGTTGAAGATTGAAGCTGATCGGCTGCAGAGGGTGGGGGGGGAGAAGGGTGCATTTTACTGCTCTGTCTGTCTGTCTGTCTCTCTGTCTGTCTCTGTGTGTGCGAAACAGTCTGTGGCTTTTTTGGGGGGGGTTTTGCGTGCGGGCGGAACCGTGTCTGTGCGGAAGGTAGAGAGCCCTGGATGTCAATCAATACGATGCACACATAGAGGAACAGATCCGAGTGGGTGGGTGGCAGGAGTGAGTGGGTGGGGTGCGGGGGGGGGTGGGTGATGGGGGGAGAGAAATGCTGCAAAAGCCCTGCTAGAGAAAGGGAAACCAAGGGGATAAGGGCGACCGATTGCAAATAAATGCAAAGCGGATTCGAAATCGTTTGCAAGAGAAAATGCGATGGGGATGAAAAATAGATATATGCACACACACACCCACACACACACACACAGAGAGAGAGAGAGAGAGAGAGTGAGTGAAAGCAAACCGGGTTAACAGCAGAGGGTGTTACTCGTTGCAACCAGAACTGAGCTGAAACAGGTCGCAGAGGCGCGACATCTAGTGGAAAAGCACTGGACAAGAACGTGCTGTTCCTGACTGATCAGCAGAGCCATCACAACAAACACCACCACCACTGAAAAGGGTGCAATCCTCCCCCCACCCCACCCACCCCCCACTTCACAAAAACAAACTCCAGCCAGACCACCAAACCACACAGGTTAAAGTGTTCTCGAGCAATTGCAGTAAAAGGGGAGGCGACAGTGACAACGTTGTGCAGCAGAAAGAAATACAGGGTTTTTTTTTGCAAACAAAATCAGCTTTTTTTTTGTCGCTTTAGTTTTGACAGCACCGATACCAGAGATTTATGATCAAAATGCATGGGTGGAGGGTGCAGAGGAAGTTTTGATATAACTATGGGTGGTGGTGGGGCGGGGGGGGGGGGGTAGCCTTAAAAATAGTGTTTTCCAATAAAGTGACTTTTCTTTCCTTGCAAAACAAAATAAATGGGTGAAAACCAGCGAACCAAATGGAGAGGTCACCAGCCAGGGAGTTGGGAGGATGCTTTCTTTTTCAACTCCCCCCCCCCCCCCCTCCCCACCAGCTTCCTTAAACACATCGTAGTCTTTGAACTAGGCTTTCCAAGCCAGACTCCTTTATATTTCCGTTTACACGTTTTATTATTTTACAATCTAATGGTCAATTGAGAAACTGGGAAGGAGGGAGGGGGAGAAAGATACTTTGCCAGACATCCTCAAGGTGCCAGTCAGTTGCACGTCTTGACTTGCAACCTCTATGTTTAAACTTTAAAGAAGTTAAATGAGCAAAATAAGCAAAAATAAACACCCCATTATTTATAGAGTAGCAGAGTAATCATATCACACCACACATCCTAACTATGACAGTTGTTGTGATTTTCGTCCCCTCCCCATTTTTAGGCATTTGAGTTTTGTTGAAAAGAGCCCACATCCCACTGGTATGTTTTAAGGAAGTTTTCATGAAAACAAACAATAATAATCCTTACATTTGATATGGCGTATAGCACCCTTCAGTTGGGAGGACATCTCAATATGCTTCGCCAGATATACTGTAAAGTGCAGCAAAAAAATCTGCTGTTTGATAAACTGTTTTCAGGCATTTGCAAATTGAAAATGCACCATTGCACTGTTCAGACAATCGTGATGAAATATGATGAAATAATAATAATCCTTGCATTTGATATAGCACCTTATCACGTCTTCGAGACGTCTCAAAATGTTTCACAGAATATACTGTAAAGTGAATTCACTGTTTATTTTGTGGGCGAAACGCCCAATGCCCACAGGCGGTGAAATGATGCTTCGCTTTCCTGCTTTTCATTTACCATAAACTGTTCTCCAAGTCTGTTTTCACGACCGCAGCTCCTCTTATTTAAAAACCCTATATTTTGCTCTATGTTTGTACTTCAAGCGTGCGGCCTTATAAGCTTTTGTTTCTGTGTTACTTTCGCTCCACCAGGGCTGACCTCCTCCTTGTCCCCCGAGTCCTCCGCTCCACCATCGGCGGCCGTGCCTTCAGCCACTACACCCCAAGGCTCTGGAACTCCCTTCCTCACTCCCTTCGTCTCGCCCCCATTCTTCCCAGTTTCAGGTCTCGGCTGAAGACCTTTCTTTTCGACCGCGCTTTTGGTCACCTTTCTCCCCCTCCCCCTGGCTCGGCCCTGGGATCCATTACTGTGAAGCGCTCTGAGACGCCGTCCGGCATGGAGGGCGCTAAATAAATCCAAGTTGTTATTGTTGTGTTAAATTTTCAAAGGTTTCTAAATTTGCACTGCAGATATCCTTAATTTAACCATGCAAACAGAGATGCTAACATCTGACAAGTAACCTTTGAGGATTCAGAAGCGGGTGTTTGGGCTTTTTGTTCCCCTTGCCTTATAACTGCAATTTATTTCAGGAACTAAAAACAGATTCAATCGTGGAGCAAATGTTGTGTTGGTGAGTGGCACACTGGCATAGAGTGAGCTGGAAGCAACATCACTTTTTCTCCTATGAATCTTTGCTGCTAATTATCCATACTCAGTGCACTGGAGTGCTCGTCTGCCGAATAAACCTAACGACAGTGTTCACAGGTTGTACTAATTGATCGGTGTCATTCTGGTTTGCAATCAGCTTCACAGGTGAAACTCTGGGTATTGCGGCAGGGTCAGTGAGTCTCTCCGCTCGTACATAAGATCATTTTATTTCTAATCTTTTCCTCTTTATAGTGATCCATCTTGATGACATCATCCGCAGACATGGGGTCAACTTCCACATGTATGCAGGTGATACTCAACTGTACCTCTCTGCCTCCATCCTTGACTCCAGGACCACTGCTGTCCTGACTGAATGTCTGTCAGACATCAAGGCCTGGATGAGAGCTAATTTTCTTCAGTTGAATATCAACAAGACCGAGGCCCTCCTGATTGGCTCCCGTCAGCGCCTCCACACCTCAGGCACTGACAGCATCACCATCCATCGATGCACACTCCACCTTACTAAGCCAGCCCGAAACATTGGCGTCTTGTTTGACCCTCAAGTTTCCTTTCTACCCCACATCCGTGTCATGATCTGCTCTGCCTTCCCCCACCTCCGCAACATCACCCGACTCTGCCACTGTCTCACACCACAGGCCGCTGAAACTCTCATATATGCATTCATTACATCAAGGCTTGACTATACAAACTCCTTGCTTTTCGGCCTCCCCAACTTCTCCCTTCACAGGCTGCAAATCATCCAGAACTCTGCAGCCTGTGTCCTCTCCCACACCAGGCTCCATGACCTATCACCCCCATCCTCAGCCGACTCCACTGGCTTTCCATCACATAGAGGATACAGTTCAAGATCCTGGTCCTCACCTTCAAAACCCTGCATGACCTTGCTCCCCCCTACCTCTGCGATCTCCTAACA